TGAGGGGAAATTTTTGGCCATTTATTCAAGCGATCACAGTCAGGATGAGCTTGGTCTGCACAAACCGACATTCATTTTTCGACGATTTTAGCGACAATTTGGCCACAACCGGTCAGTTTCACGTGCTTATGTGTTTGTGGGAGGAGTTGCTTCAGAGTCACCGTGAGACTATGTTCACACAAGACTGTGACACTGCCAGCAGCAGGAAGTGCGCCAAGGTGAACAATTGTTGCTGGGTTGTGGGTAAGCGATTTAGGGTAGAAGGTGTATAAATGACGAATTTTGGTATTTACGATGCTCGAAATATGTGTTTACCATCGGTGGCTAAATCCGGCTACAATTTCCAGAAGAAATCTACTTTGAGAATAAAGGTGCTTGGGGCTCTTAAGCGACTTGGCGGGGACAAGAGCATCAGCTCCTAAATGCTTCCCCTCAGATCGTGCTCTCGTGTTATCATCATGGATGATGGGCCAGGGTGTGAAAAAAATCCGATTGGAGCGGGATCCCCGCTTTTGTGGTGAGAGTTCTGACATTTTCGTCGCTGTTAGCCCTGGTGTCAGGGGCTGTTAACTTTAAATATTTAGAAGTTGTTTGACCTTGTTTTCGCAACTTGGTCATATTGGTAGGAAGACTTATAGAAAACGCACCTATAAGTCTTCATACCAATATGACCAAGTTGCGAAAACAAGGTCAAACAACTTCTATACAATGGAAGGAGACTGCGACCATAAAAATAGACCACACCATCTTGTTCTTCATACTTTAAATATTTAGCACACTTGTCGACAAGCCGCTGGAGGTGTTGATAAGACCGATGCGAGGTCGAACTTCAGTCCATTGGTGGCTGGATCAGAACAACTTTTGGGAAAACAAGGCTATGTGAAATTCAGTGGAAACGTCAGCTCTAATCATATCATTGTGGGAAAATTCTTCTTCTACCAGTCCTTCATCAAATTAAACGAAATTGGGTGAATACATCTTACATTACTGATTTACAAGTAGTCTCGACACAATACATAAATGCGAAAAAGAAATGGATGCGCTTAAAGAAAGCCGCAGTTCATACACAAAGAGATACAAGGAGAGGCAAGGTAGTCGAAGATGGTCTTGCTGTTTTATTAACGTGGGCCGGGAAATAGCCGCCTATCCGGGTCTGGAGTTGCTTCCTGCGCTAGATTGGCTGGCTTTCTAATACCGCACAGTGTCTACTATTCCAAATCAGGTGGTTGAACTGCCAAAGAGAAATTTGAGGAGATAGTAGATTTTGTTTACTCATTTCCATGGTTTTCGGGCCTCAGCCTAATTTTCCTTGTTGTAAACTTGAGATGTCCATAAGAGTGCGCCACATTTCGGATGGCTGTGCCATGTTTTCTGGCATGACAGATGGAAGCTTACTTATTCTCTGGAATCAATGAACGGTGTCGAGAGCGTCAGTCAGGTTGCCCCAGGCAAACCAAAAGGCCGATTAGGATGAAACTGTACTCAAGCCTTCCTCAGAAAAGGGCTGCTCTGCTGCTATCTATTGGTGACAAATTTACGTCTGTGAACAAGTAAAAAAGCTCTTGGATTCCACACAATACTGGACAAACATTTTAGCGGATGTAACCACCCCACTTCGTTAAAGTGATAAAGGACTGTGGCAAATGAATTTTCCCACAACGTTATCTATGAGTAGGCCTTGCATTCCACTTGAATTTCTCCTGGCTTTGCTTCACAAAAGGTATTCCCATCCCGTCTGTGCTTCAGTTTCGACCTCGCCTAAGTCTCATCAGCACCCCCAGCGTGACTCGATCCGTGATATATGATATACTGGTAATCTGTAAAATATACTTATCAACGAACAACACTTTCGCAATGATAGAAATAAACCTGGGACAAATAAAGGCGCCTGATATGAAGGACAGACACTTCGTCAAATAATAGGCACAATATCTCGCACTGAGGCTGCCAGAAAAGAACGATTGCCATTCATATGGGCTTTGGAAAAATGAAACGACCTTGAGGGCGAACTACATGAGTTGAATGATACCCCATCTTTCAATTCTTATGAATAAGCGGAGGTTTCTTTAATGCACTATGGCCTGCAATGAAGTCGCAT